GCCTGGTTAACTTGGCATCCAGTTGCAAGTGTCAGTACTGTCAAAATAAATTACCAGTAAGTGCTGCAGGGAGTATAATGAAGTCAGCCATGCAAAAACATGAGGGCTGTTTCCCACGTTAATATATTTCTAAAAATTTGAGAGTAAGTTTAATGATCCTGAAACTAATGATTCAATAACACTACTTATGAGCAGGTATAGAGTTAGTAAATATTTTGAAATTATCTATAGGTCTGCCAACTGATTTCTGGATTGATGTGAAGAACAATTAAAATCAAATGCATCTTCATTATCACTTAAAATGAATCAGAACTAGGGTCTTCAGAGAGAAATCACTAGGCTAATCCAATGTGCTGCCTATTCCCCAGATTAATTTCTAGAATCACCTTTGCAAAGGGTGGTACTTAATCATTTTAGCAATCCAAGAGGTTCCTCTATAATATTCCTAGCAATCAACTATGCACGTTCCTAGTTCTACTGATATGCAGCCATACTATACTGGATTTTTTTGATGACAGACTCCTCCACAGAACTATTGTCAAATTAGAAGGTATGCAACCAATGTAACCCCTCCAATTTTACTATTTCATTCTCCACACTAGCCTTGCTGAAGTCATGCTTCAGCTGAAGTGGTCAGTTAACTTAAATTTCAAAACTGTCATTACCTTCATGCCCAAAGCAGCATTGAAGAGAAAGGAGGAGAGTGACCCTCACCCACTTCCACAATCCTGAAGCTTGTTTTCATTGTTCTGCAACTCCTACTTAACAGTACCATGTACAGTAAAAGGCATCACAATAAACAGTCTTTAAAAAGTTAGTGTCAGATGCCAAAATGCTTTAAGTTATCTAAATAGTTTCAGAACAGGTCTGTAGTTATATAGATACACTCAAGAGCACCACTGCATTAGAACAATTGGTCCCCAGCCAGCACTTACAATACTTTAGGTTTGTCTTTCTCACTGTCATACAAGCTGGGTTTAAAGTAGGTTCCAGTGATTTTTATCCCAGATCCCCATTCTCCATTGAAGAGACCTTCAATATAATCTCCATTTGGCAAGGTGAGTGTTCCCTTGGAGAGTCAAGAGAACAGAGAAGACAAAATAAAACGTTAAAACTGAAAGCCATTCATAGAAGAGACTGAACTAGAATGAGTTTAAAAAAAGGCCAAGGGTACAAAAGTCATAATTACAACCTTTCCACTAAGAGTCCAGTTATCTGAAAACTCTCCTTCATAGACTGTATCATCTTCAGAAAGCAGAATCCCAGTCCCCTACATAAAAGAATAATCACAATTAGCATAATAATGGACCAATAAATATAGAAAGTAATCATCACTGAAAAGACTTCATACTAGATTTAGGGATAAATTGTAGTATGATGATGATTTTTGAAGTGATAGCCAATGAAGGAGCCTATAATAGAACACAGATGAACACAGAAACACCAACATTAGAGGATGGAATAGGAACAAGTTCTTCCAGGTTTTAACAGTCCAGTATGTGGGAGTACCCCATATAGAATAAACAACTGTTACTAGGCAGGGGAAGGGCTGGGGGGACAAAAACTACACACCACACATGTGTACACACTAGACAGCCTAGAATCCAACTCACCATCATTTTGTTGGTATTAAAAGCTCCTTCATAATACAGTCCAAACTGAGTAACTACAACACCATTCCCCTGGCAGAGGTCATCTTGCCACATTCCCATATATTTTTCACCCCTGCAGAAATAGGTGATGAAAAGAAAAAAAAATTATACGCAACTAAAATAGTTTTGTAGATGGACTAGTTTATTCATAAATCACTCCTACTGTCTCTCTAACGTGACACTGAATTAATAGCTTCTAGAAGACTCAGAAGCAGTACATTTGAATTCTGTATGACAACTGCTAATCTGATTTCATCAGTTCAAGGAAAGGACAGCCAACTACCAGAAAGACAAGAAAGCAAAAGATATCCTTCATTAATTTATTGGCAGCCCCATCACATCAAAACCTAGCATTTCTAGTTTTTCAAGAATTGCACATTTCAAGATGACAGAATGAGACCCCAATAAAGCAAATGTTTAAGTGACTAGATGTGAACAGTAGCTATAAGAAGAGAAAAAGGGAAGACTTGTGACCTGAATCCACACTAACTGACCTTTGAAGGACCCATATATAAAAGAAGATCCATGGCAATAAGAAATGTATAAACAATGGGTAAAAGGTTACATGAACTATGATTATGCTTTATTATTCAGACTTCTTGACACACCCAAACTAAGCTGTCACAACCTACAGGGTCCCCATTTTACAGAGGGGTGGTCAATTAGGAAAGAAAGGCCTCCTGTTCCACTTATGTCGAGTGCACTGGAACAAAAGATGGAGCACAAGAGTACAAAAATGGTCAGAAACAGAACACAGGACCAGGGCATGGAAAAAAAGAACACTGCAGTTAAGACATTCATTTGGTTCATAGGTTAATAAATATTTAAAGACAAAGAATAAAAGCAAGCGTGTGTGTTCATTTTAATGGAACTAATGCATTACTGCAATAGAAAAAAGTTAGAGCCCACATGACTTAAGGAGGAAGATGCAACATGCTCAGCTTCTGGAATGGAGGAAGGAAGAGTAAACTCCTGGTTTCCCGAGATGCATTATTGCCAAATGACACACGAGCAAATGCAACCTTTTATCTGTAGTCCTTTAGGCCCTGTGACTAGTGAAAGAGGGAATCCTCTGGGCTCCAAAAAGGTGGGTACCTATACTCCTCCTACCCAAAAAAGGAAGGAATACTGCTATAAAAAAGGTATCCAAGTGATAGTGAAGAAATAAATTGCACAGGGCCTTTGATCCAACTTATCCAAAGGAGGTAACAGTAAAAACTAGGTTCTGAATTCCACTCTCCTCCAGAAGTTACAACTTTCCACGTGGAGAAAAAGACTAAATGGACTAATGAAAAACAATTTGATGGCAAGAACAGGAACAGTAAGTAGCTAAATATGAAGTCTTCTGAAGAGTGCAAGGGAAACATGTAACAGAACCAAGTGTGAAACAGACTGGAAGGAACTTGAGATTTTTGACTGAAAACTGTTGTATAACCAGGAAACTTTTCATGGCTTCTCACTCCTCTCTCAAATGGGCTTTCAAGTCAGTAAATTGGCAGCTACTACTTGGATTTTATGAAATCCAGGAGCTTTTTCACAGAAAAGGAACACTTCGTTCAAAAGGAGGTTAGGGGATGTGTGTACAGGTGGCTATCTACTTATTTGGGCTGAGGCAGCATCCATTTTCAGTGCATTATTTTTTTCAGCTCATTTCCCTCATTCATGAGAAGGTGAAGTAATTTGCCCCTAGCTTTGAGAATAAGTCAGGGGCTTCACTGTAGGTTAACCAAAATTTACTTCGTTCCTACAGCATATGTAACTAGCATATTATATTTTTAGGATTTCTACTGTAAACATATTACCTTGTAATATCATCGAAGACTCCATATCCAGTCTTCTTATCCATTGACCATTGGCCAATGAACATACTAGGTGAGGAAGATGTCAGTTTGCCACTGCGCAGGAGGCCATGTCCATGACGCACATTATCCTGAAAGCAGCCTTCATACACCTCTCCAGTGGCATAGCTGCAATCGCAAAAGAGAATGAGTACAGCTTTGGTGATCCATGTCGTTCCATATTGATCCATACTGTATCCAGGTTTTCAGGGATAGATAATGAACCTTTTCTTTCAGATCACATTAAAATCATGTCCACCTCTGGAATCATATTAACAAGTAATGTTTAAGATGTAAATGAGACAGGACCAATACTTTTAAAGAACCTTTTTAAAGCAAAATGGGGAGATACTATTTGGTCTGCCATTATGACATTTCAAGAAGGGAAAAAGTCACCTTAAAAACTGAAAGGATGTGGCAACATTAAAATGGAAACAAGATAACAGCCATCAGTGTATTCATTAACAGTAGAAAGCACCCAAAGAATTATTAAAATTAAAGCTAATTAACTACTGCCAGGAACTTGGGAGATGCAATGATAGAGTCCCAATACTAGAGTTCTCCCTTCTAAAAAGAAAGCAGTGCTCCAATACAAGAGGATTGCAACTGAAAACAGTACTTGTAATATCAGATCAAGTTCAGAGTCTCCCATCCCCTTCCTGAACTACAAAACACCTTCTGTCAGAAAGGTAATATGTGGTCCATACCTGTAGACTCCTTGTCCACACATTTTGCCCTCCTTCCAGTATCCCACATAATGGTCATCTTTGTTCAATGCTTTGTTTGGCACCCTGTATTCACCATACCTGCCAACACATGAATATCAAACAAAACATGAGCAGCCATATTACAAGCATATACACAAATCCATTATTTTACTACTGCATAAAAAAAAAACATTTTAAAATTTTAATGCACTAAGTTATGATTTCACTGGCATTTCACCAACATCAGCAGTTAGCACATTTTGTACCAAAGTAACAACTTTCATATCACTAGGGGGTGTTACCCTGCATTATTTTCAACACATTTAGTTCTGGTCTGGTCTGGTCTGGTCTTGGGGGCAGAGGGGGAAGGAAGGGGGTGCAATGGGGGCAGACCCAATGCAGAATGGGAGCAGGGCCAGACAAGGGGCTCTGTCCGTCGTCCCCCCTACCCATGACAGCAGGGACTGAAGGGCCAAAGTAGGGCCAGAGGCATGGGGGAGCCACGGGGCGAGAGGCAGATCAGTGGCAGTGCAGGGTGTTGGGTGAAAGCATGCCGTCCTCACCCCCCACATCTTTCTTGATGGGCGACTGGCTAGTAGTTTATAAGTTTCATTTCACATTAACTCCCTCTCCATTGCTTGCTACCCTCTTCATTCTTGGGTAAGATAAATTTTACTTTTAATGTTATGGCAAATTGAGCTCACAATTTGGGTTCAATACTTAGTATCTTTAATAGGCATTAAGAATATTAAGAAGAATAAATTGTTTTTGTCGTCTTATCTTTGGAAAGTGGCACAGGAAACTGAATAATCATAATTTTAACATCCAAAGCAAGAGTATGCCACTGAACTTATAGTTAAAGAGATTTCATGCCTTTTGAAAGAGTAACAAATAATAAAGCCATTTCATCTGGGGGTGGAGAATAGCATCTTGGGACAAAGAGAAACCCTAGAAAGCAAGCAAAAGATGAAAAAGCAACACTGTATTTTTTTAAAGCAAAAAAGCAACCTAACAAAGTTCACACACACTTTCATTGTCAAATCTCTTGCCATTTCCCTGAGGCCTCCATCACTTTGAAAACTGAACTTACACTGTTCATGGACAGGCTTTGTACATGTTTTGCGAGATGTCTAGCACACTTATTTGTTAGCTATGCAATATTTTATATACAAATCTCAGACTAAAGAGTGCTACCTCCCATAAACAAATATTTATGTTCTCTTGCTTAGTGAAGTCCACTCTTACCCATCTTCTAAACCGCTCCTGAACACTCCCGAATACATCCTTCCATCTGCCCATTTTAGGACACCCCTGGAATACATACACACAGAAATAAGGCAGTTACCAGATGAAGATGGTTCTCATAAAAAAACCCTTCATTAAAAAGCACACTAACACGTAACGGTAAAAACTACCTCCCTCCTCCTATTCCTTTCAAGTCTTAAATGCTTTTACCTGCCATTGGGTTTCCCAGAAAGCCACCTTCCATCATAGGTAGCATCCTTAAGCCGAGGATCCTTATAAAAAGTGTATTTGGCACTACGAGAGATGGGAGGTTCTTGTCTCTGGATATTCCCACTACCTCCATAAGGGGGCAAATCAGAAGTTCCTCTAAGAGCTTGATCCACAGCTTGGCTTATAGCCCTCAGCCACTTTGTCTGAAATAGATTAGAGAAGAATTTTATTATTCAAACCCTTGCCTGTCAATTATCTTTAGCATTTCTTCTCTAAGCACCCCCTGCACCCTCCCCACAATATTTCTCTATACACATTATCACTACTCCAGATATGAATACAAAAAGAAAAAACCAGAGGAGTTAGAAATGTATGTACTTGGATAACTGTTTTTTTCTTACGTTAGTCCTGAGACTAGATAGATCAGGGGTGGGCAAATCAGTGGATCCAGCTGGCAGCCAGACTCCATTTCCCAGAAGCCCCTGCCCATGTGGCTGGGGCCAGTTTCCATGGAGACCCCAGCAGCAGCTGCACTGTGATAGTGCAGGGCCGGGGTTTCTGTGGACACCAGTCCCAGCAGCGCTGGGCAGGGAGCAGCTCCAGAGCTGGTCTAGGATCTTGCAATGGTGACAGCGTGGTCCAGAGCCAGGGCAGAGCCACAAACTGCTGCCTGCACATCCCTGCCTAGAACATGCAGGCTGCAGGTTGCAGCTCTGCCCCGTCTCCAGACCACAATGTCACTGTTGCAAGATCCCAGCCTGGTGCCAGAGCAGCTTTCCACCCTGCCAGCCCAGCTAGGGCCACTCTTCATGGAAACCCCAGCCCCATGCCATCATAGTGCAGCTGCTGCTGGGGTCTCCACTGAAACCAGCCCCAGCCACATGGGCAGGGGCTGCTGGGAAATGGAGTTCACTGCTGGCTGGATCTGGCCCACAGGCTAGACTGCCCACCCCTGAGATGCATTCCTCCCCCCCACTCATTATTAAAAGGATCTAAACAGGGTGTTTTGCAGCATCACAAAGATAATCAGGAAAGTCCGTGCATCTGCATACCTTTTCCTGTGGTGTTGATGAAAGGAGAATAAGTTGTTCCTCTGGTGTAGTGATCTTCAAACCATTCCTAAACATAAACAAGAATAAACCCATATTAGAAAGAATCTATGCATTATATGATGAAATTTCAGTCTCTTAAAGTAGGGATATTGTAGCAAGATTGGTGTTGTACAGGAGAGGATATTCAAGATTAGCATTACTTTCTTTTCAACTCAGAATTTGAATAGTAACATCCACAGAAGACTGTTCACCCATCTTGCTCAACCCCAACTTTAAAAAAAAGCAAAAACAAAAAACAAAAACCAAGCAGACATACAATCATTCATAGTTGGTAGGGTAGCAAGGGACCTGAGCAGATAATCAAGTCCGACCCCCTGCCATAGCAGGAAAAAGTACTGGGGTCAAATGACCCCAGCGAGGTGTTAGTCTAACCTCCTCTTAAAGACCTCCAGGATAGGAGCCACCACCACTTTGCTTGGAAGTTGGTTCCAGCCCCTAGCCACCCTGACAGTGAAATAGCGCCTCCTGATATCTAGCCTGAATCTACCCTCTGCCAGCTTGTGACCGTTATTTCTAGTCACTCCCGGTAGTGCTCGGGGAAACAGGGACTCCAATACCTGCTGGTCCCCTCTGACTAGTTTGTAACAGGCCACTAGATCCCCGCTCAGCCTTCTCTTGTGGAGCCTGAACAGGTTCAGGTCCCTTAGCCTCTCCTCACAGGGCCTGCCCTGCTGACTCCTGATCATGCGGGTGGCACTACTCTGGACCCTCCCCATGCTGTCCACATCCCTCCTGAAGTGCGGTGCCCAGAACTGGACGCAGTACTCCAACTGCGGCCTGACTAATGTCGCATAGAGGGGGAGGATCACCTCCTTGGAATGCATGACAAGGTGAGGTTGGCCTTCCTGACCACGTCCCCACTGTCGGCCCACGTTCATTTTGACATCAATAATGATTCCAAGATCCTTCTCTGCCTCTGCACTGACAAGAAGGGAGTTCCCCAGCCTGTAGGTATGCTGCTGGTTCTTCCTCCCCAGGTGCAGCACCTTGCACTTGTCAGTGTTGAAACCCATCCTGTTCTCATCTGCCCACACCTGTAACCTGTCCAGGACTGATTGAAGCCTACTCCTCCCTTCTAGTATGCCCACATCCCCCCACATCTTAGTGTCATCAGCAAATTTGAATAGGGTGCTTTTTACCCCCTCATCCAAGTCACTGATCGTATTTACAGGTCTCAAAAAACAAAGCAGAATCCTATTGTAACAAGGCATTGTTAAATAAAAATACCATTTTGTTTGGATTAGAATGATATACAGATCAAAGATATACCTAACTCTTATATCTCATTTCCCCAGTTTAAAAAAAATCCAATCAGTTGGAGTAAAGGAAGAACATCCAAATACTTCAGAAAAAAAAAAAAAAAAAAAAAACATGATTAGAAATAAATTTGGATTACAGAGAAATACTCACACATTCCCAGCTTCTTCTGAGACAGCCTCCACCCACACTGTGGACAGGGGAAAAATATGGTGCGTTGAGAACTGTAAGCAGGAAAAAAGGCAAAAATAAAAAAAGAAAAGAAACCTCACTGAGCATATGCCAGTTTCCCCCTTCCCAAATTCCTTGTAATATACCCTCTTCCCATCTGAGGATAGGATTGAGATAGATTTCAGTGAACCAATAATATTCAAACTACTGCTTCAAATACCCACAACAAACCAGGCCACAAATAAAGACCAGGGTGTACAAGTATTTTTGATGGTTGAAATAATCCACTGAATCAACCTTTGGAAAACAGGAAATATTTCTCCCTTTTTGGCATTGAATACCATTGTAAAGAACAGCATAAAAAACCTAAATAAAGATAGAAATTAATCACATCCAAAAGTTGCCAGTCATTAAGCTGAGGTGGAAACATTTATGTTCTAGCATGTCCTCACCTGTGCATGGACCAGAGCATCATTAAAGAGGATGAACCAGTTCACTGAGAACCTTCCAGCATGCTGTAAAACCAGCCCCCGATTACTGCTTTCACAGATTAACCGACGTTCTGATTTCCTCAGGGAATCCTACAGTTAAGATCAGAAAGTGATCAAGTCATTCTTGATATTGAGGATGTTAGTTTACCATAAGTTAATTACAGCAATAGCCAAGTCTTTCTAAAATTAGAAGTGCTGTAGAAGATGAGAACAAGTCAGTGAAATGGAGGAAAAAAACAGTGACTTCAGAAACTAGGTTAATGGGAATCTGCAGTATGACACTAGTAGCAAATCAACTGACCGCTGTGAGCATACCGTCATTTTCCCAGGGAAGGTCTTCCAAAAGCTCAGTGTGTATTCTGCTTCTTTCCTTTTCCTCCCAAGGTGGATAGCAAGAGTCTCATAGCAAGAACTAGAATCCTGAAGCTTCTGGTATTCTGAAGATGTCTAATGGGGAAAAATAAACAAAACACCACACATTGAGAGACACCAGAGTCCAATACCAATACTTTCATTACACCATCACAACATCTCCATCAGGTCACTAAAAGCAACTCCAAAAGGTAGCCAGTCTGCTTTCTGTCACTTATACAGTGTTGATGCAATGGAGTTCTCAATGAAAGATGTTCAAGGAATACTAAAAGCAGAGTGGTAAGTGTGTTCATAAAATTTATATGACTTCACTACCTGAGGCTCTTCATATAAATCAAAGAGTAGCATGCAACAAACAAGCTACTTCCAATTAAGTTTCAGAAGCACTGTAATATTGGGAAGAGATAAAGACATCTTACCACTTCAAAACAGGTAGCAAGCTTTAGCAAAACTCTAGCATAATTATGAAGTCTTCTGACTGGCAAGAAAAACAAAGTATTTAGCAGTTCTACCAACTGGATGCATTCTTCGTTAGTCTCAGACAGCTTCTGTAGCAGCTCCTCGTTTTTACTCAAGAAATCGCTAGAGGGGGAAAGAATGATAGGATAAAAGCCTTAGTAACACTTGGCATATAAGACTATAGCTCCTACTACAGAGTCCTCTTCTGGGTAATCAAAAAAAAAGACCAAAACAGGGAATATTTAAAAACAAATAAATAAACCAAAGAAGAGAACAGCATGAAGCATCAATTTCCATTATAATTTAAGAAAACATTATAAACATATTGGACTTAGTAAATTAATTAAGTATGCGCAAGCAATTTTTTTTCTGATGCTAAACCCATTCTTAATTGAAGTGAGAGCGCCAAGGGAAGAGTTAACCTAGCTTCTTTCTTGGAGAGTAATTTGTTGCTGTTATCATTAGATTCCCAACTGGTCAGGTGATATACGAGACAGAAAATGGTTTTGTACCCCCTATCAAAACAGTGTGCCTATAATATTATCACCCAAAAAATCCCAACTTGTGCTTATGTTCCCCAGGCATATGTAGATAATATTTTGCCTCCCCTTGCTGTCCAAGCAGCAAGGTTTTATTGGCAGTATTTTTTTTACTGGACCTACTGTATGCTGGGAGAGGCACATTTGGGCATAAACAGACCTGAAGAAAAACCCTTTGCTTCTTACATTTCTTTAAGATCATCATGGCTACAACACTGCAGCCTTCTTGCCCAGGGAGGTTAAACAATTTCCTCACCTCTACCGTTGAAACAAGTTGCATCCTACTTCTAAAATAAATATGGAATCTGTATAATCTGTAGTCTGATTTCCCAAAGTAAAAAGCTAATTTACTTCAGAGAAAAGGGAATCGATTTTAAAGACAATGCAATTGCAAGCAAAAGTACGGTTTCCTCACCAAAAAACAACTCCCCAAAAACCCATATACAACCATGTTTGTATGACACGTCAAAGTAGTTTTCCATCTAGGAGCTATTTGAACTGGAAGCCCGAGAGGAACAAGAGCCTAGATGGCAGGCTACAGAGAACAAAGAATCAGCCTGGAGAACTGCACAGCAGGACCCCTTGAGTTCAATGTGATTAATAAGATATTGCTTCACAAATATCAAATGAATATCTAGCCTAGTTCTGCCCATGGGATTTAAGAACCCTCTTATTTAAGAAGCATTAAGGGGGGAAAAGCCTTCTTGGGAGAGAAAGCTGTTTTTCTTCAGCACAAGACTAACCATCTGGATAGTATACATTTTTAAAGTGCTTTGAGATCCTCACACAGAAAGCTTTCTAGACATTAAATGACAAAGCCATCATAACCATAGGTCTTGCCTATTTTCTCAAAGGATATACCCAAAAAAGCCTACCAACAATAGGGATTTCTAGTGAGAATTTTGCTTTTGTGAAAGGTTGGATTATATCTAATGTGTCTGTATCAGGAAATATTCATGGACTGGCTTACATTATTAAATATCAATTGAGACAATATCTGACAGAAGCTCTAACAGAATGATTTATTCTAAACATCAGGTTATTATCTGTATAGAATGCCTTTTGCTTTTCTTTACAAGTCTTAGAGCGAAACTTCTGAAAAAAACCTAAAAAACCCAAACAAAAAACCCCACAACTTTTCTCCTTGAAAATTTCAAAACCTGAAAATAAATAAATAAATAAATAAATAAAAAAGGTGCTAGCAATTTAAAGAGTTTCTAGCAACATTATGAGAAACTGTCACTATTCAGTGACACTACATGAAGAATTCAGTATCTGCAGTTCCAATATTAAAAATTATCAGGGTCTGTTATGGACCTACTGCTGTTCCCCAGTTCTAGGTCTGGTTTATTTAGGATGAAGAGCTGCAAATAAAGGAGGAAAACTCTTCCTTTTCCATGGTGGGACTTCATGTTTAGCAAGTAGCATCTTTCCTCAGTTACACCCACAAATTCTTTACCTTGGTTGCACAGTGCTTCAAACAATCCAACACAGTGACATGGTTTATGACATGCTTCAAAGGGGCCAAACAACTGCAGGAAGTAACTCCCAGGTTGCAAGGCGAGACAACACTGGCTGATAAATTCCCAAATTGCAATATTTAAGAGAATGCAGATGCAGAAAAATGTAATGCATCAGTGAATCCCAATCTATAATTTACAGGCTGCTTTTGGTCCCAGGATTACACAAATACTCCTTTTCAGTTAAAACCTTGATAAAGGTGTACGGTGGTGCATAGGAACTGGGAGGTAGGGATGTAAATATCATTTTAAAAAATATCTATTTAACCTCCTGCAATTATAATTGGTTAAACGGTTAACAGTAGCTCAGATATGGCTGCGGCCAGGGGCCGCTCCCCCCAAAGGGGTCTGCGGCGGGGAGCCGCTCCCGCAAAGGGAGTGGGGAGGCAGTGGTGGCAAACACCAAGCACAGCACCCATGAAGCCAGGGGTGGCAGCTGCAGGCAAGGGGCTTTCCATTGGGAGGAAGGAAGCACCTGTGAATGAGCAGCTAATTGCTTAACTGATGTGTCATTAGGCTGTCAGTCATTTTCCTCTTTAACCTCACAGGCTATGGGTACTAGGTCCCAACTCTTCTGTTCCCTTTGCTCTTCCCTCCTTCCTGCTCTGCTACCTTCCTGTTCTTGAGACACTGCACCATTTCCTTTACCCACTGGACTGTGCCTTGTGCTAAATGTTAACTGATAATACATTAGCATTATAAACATACTTATTTCAATGTTTAACCTTTCACATCCCTACTGGGAGGCCAAAGAGCTTGGGAACTTTCTCGTTTCCCAGTCAATGTAGTATTAATTACGAAAGCAATTTTAATCACTACTTAACAGGTTTTAGTATCGAGATCACGTATGAAATTGAAAGAAAAAAAATTATACCTACACCCAAGTGGAGTTAGGAAAAATCCTTTGCACATTTTTCATGCATCTGCATATTATCTCTCTCTCAACTCTAAAGTTGAATTATGTCAGCAAAAATCCATAAATATTAGGAAAAAGATTTACTTACATGGCTGGTTTTGCAAGTAGTGCGAATCCTCCCATCACCACAAAGTTTGTTACAGATGTGCAATACCTAAGGCAGCAACGGGTGAGGTGGGAAGGG